CTTCATTACCCATTCAAGCAGTCTCCAACCGTTATTAGATTTTGAATATTTCTATATTAGTACAGGGAGGTAGGAAACATATAATATGTTTATACACGACTCTGTTTCTACTGTTTCCATAAAATGATTAACTTCAGTGTTTGCTGGTTCTAGTATTTCCAGAAAAGCTATTTACTCCAATATTTACTGGTTCTAGTGTTTCCATAAAGCTACCCACTGCAAGGTTTTCTGGTTCTAGTTTTTTCCTTAAAGCTTCTTACTGGAAAATTTGCTGGTTTTACTGTTTTTATAAAGCTACTTACTACAAAGTTTTTCATATCCTGGATTGTCATTTGGCGGTTAACCAATTTTTTTTTACGCTATCCAATGTAATTATCCATATTACATGTTTTATGAAGATGCAGTATCATATCTAACATAACTAATCATATAAAATATTATTAAGTAACATCATACGACATGACTAGCCATTACAAACGATGTCATTATCCATTATAATCTTATTATAAACATGTATTATTTAATCTTTATCATTTCTCATAGAAGCGTTGTCTATACGGTTTGTCTGCCAGGTGTCTCAAAGACATGTATTGTACAGTTGTACTCCAATAAAACAATACTTATAAAAGTGCATTAATCATTGTAACTGTGTTAAGTAGCTACAACTGTCCTGATTAACTAATCATGGTGGTTAGCCAACTTATGGAGACACATTATGTGCCATGACTGAAGTACAGGGAACAATTGTAACTAGGAAACACTGGGAAAAGTAGTAACATGATTACATAAAATAGTCCTAACTAGAAAACACGGGATTTTAATTGAAGTACACTAAAGAAGTTTCACACCTGGGTGTCCGGTAACCACATAGGACGAGTCAAGCGTCCTAACCACCAGGCCATGCCAGAACCCATTAAAACTTCTAACATAACGCAAATAAACAATTCATCAGAAGTGTTAAATGTGCAGAATACGTTTCAACTATGTCATCAATAAACAATTTTATTCAAGAGATTTAAATTTAGATAATAGTCTAAAGCAGCTTATATAAAAAAGTTAAACTTCATAGTTTAAATATAACTTGCTTGAAATATTCAAATTTATAGATTAGCTTAAAAGTATCTTCTCAGAAATTTTATAAGACATTTTTTTTAAAAAGTAACTCATCAGTAATGTTAAATCTTTTAGCAGAATAGTTTAAAAGTAGTTTATCAAAACGAAAAATTTTATAGTTTAAAAATAACTTGTCAATAACGTCTAAATTAATATAATAATATAAAATAACTTATCAAAAACATTAAATTAAGTAAGTAACAACTGAATATCTCAGCACACACGTTTATTTTATTTTTTACAGTATATTTTCGGAGTGGTGTTTTTCGTCTTTACTGGGATGTTAAAAAAATGGAGGTCAAAGTATCTAGCGTTTCATACTTTCTTTGGCTTAGGAATATTTTTGATGGACGTGTTTACGTGTGTGGTTGGAATAAATGAGGAGCTTTTTATTGGTTTGTAAGTATTGTTTATATTAGTTTTATACTTTTCTCCACTTTTTTATTATTACATCCAAATCTGTTTATTTTTCAACTTTTAAAATTTAGTAAAACATCTATGCATTTATATTGTCAAAAATATCATAATTTTTGTTACTTTAATTTTAATATGTGATCATACCTGGTCTTAAGACTGGCTTGAAAACGCAGTATTTTATTAAAATTATCTCCAATATTTTGTTAACGGACAGTGGCGGTGATGACTAGCTGCCTTCCCTCTAGTCTTACACTGCTAAACTAGGGACGGCTAGCGCAGATAGCCCTCGTGTAGCTTTGGGCGAAATTCAAAACAAACAAACAAACAATTCAAGGACAGTTTTTTCTATATGTGATTTTTATTTCCACTCTTGTTTGAAATCACACTTGTATTCAGTTTTATAATTTTTAAAAGCAAATTTAACTGTAAATTATATGTAGTCATTCGTATTTTTACAAACGTCTAGAACACGAAACAAAACGTTGATTGTGCGCATGCGATTAACTATTACTAACAGAAACGTCGTTTGTGTTATTAATAACTAATCGTAGTATTCATATCGCATTGACACAAATTTAGAAAAAAAATCAACATTTTCTTTAAAAAAAGGATTTTTCTGGGAAGTACTGCACGGGAAAAGTGTTCGGATTGTGCTGATATAAACTGTAATGTTTTATATTTTACAAGTGCTACCCTTTATCGAAAAAATAAGTTTTTTAAGAACTCCATTTTTAGTACTATATTTACAAATTACATCAATAAAGATATAATCAACCCCTCACGAACAGTCAGTCCTAGTGAAAGTCATATTCTTGTTGTGAGGAAAATACTTTTATAATAATTTAAAAATTATTTTAATTT